GGTATGAATGCTTACGGTTTCTTACAAAACTGACGTGTGGAAGTTCAAGAAGAAGTCTGTATGTATATAGTGAAGTGCCTTTAAAACTGCAAACAGGAGGCGTCTCTTTACCCAAAGGGTTGCAGGAGTATGGAACAAACCGCTCGGCCATCTTCTTGAAGCCGAGACATTGGCTCCTTCCAAGAAACAGCTAGAGGTTATATCCAGAAATAACTGGTTAACTACCAAAACAGGAGGAATGTGCCAAAGGGGCTCCTCTCATTTGTAACATATCAGACAGAGAAGCTTAAGTATTTTAAGGTCAATGATTCTTTGTTGGTTTTGTTCTACTGGCCCTGCCTTGAATCTGTGCTAACTTTTACCCTGATCTGCTGGTTTGGTAACCTGAATCTGAGAAGCAAGAACAAACTGGGCAGCCTTGTGAAAATATGTCAGAAGGTCCTTGGTGCTGATCTTCCAGCCATCTCCTCCATCTATCATTCACATGTTTTACACAAAGCAAAATCCATCTGCAATGATCATTCACACCCCTTGTTTAATAATTTACAGTTACTCCCATCAGAACACAGATACCGACTCTCCAGCTCCAAAACCAACAGAGTCATACCTGTAGCCATATCCTTACGTAACTCTTGACCTTCAATGTAAATATGTATGTATATTGTTGTTCCTGTCTTTTTGTTCTGTTTGTCTGAACACCAACACTGCTGCTGTAAAACAACTTGCTTCCCCTGGGGTAATAAAGACACTCTCTCTCTCTAAACTCATACCCAGTGCTGACAATCCCTAATCCCTGGTCTCAGGGTGTCTTTTGAGCAAAACTGCTGAACTGAGTGAAAATTCCTTTGGAAATGAAGGGAGTTGGCAGACAATTAATCACCACTTTCTTAAAGTCTGGCTCTTCAGAAAAAGCTAAACGAACTACTTTACAACACAGAGAAACATACTTTCTTTTAATAAAAAAAAAGACCACTGAGGACCAAATGTTTCTCTTTGCATTCATAAACTGTAACTCTTTGGAAGTATTTTGAAACAAATATATTTTTCTCCCCAACTGTTATGTTCAGTCACACACAGATGAAAATGAACAGGGCACTTCGGACAGCATGAGGGACAAGACCAACAGTACTAAGGAAGGTAGTCAATTGCATGGAGACAAGAGATAAATGAATTATGATTGGTGTACTTACATTTTTTAATTTAGGTTACAAAACAAGTCAATTGAGAATAAATTCTCATTTACAGCAACATCCTTGAGACTCGTTTCTGCATTTTTTGGACCAATCTGAGCATGACCCTTCACTCAAGGGTGCGACAATCGCAACCCATTTAGGATTTGAACCTGTAGCCCTCTGATTTGGGGGTAAAAGCCGTGACCTATACTCCACACCACTGCCTGTAGTGTAAGACATATCTTGTTGTACATGAAACACCTCACTGGAGACGGGCTAACCTGAACTAATTCTTCTCTCTAAAGAGTATCTTGTCTTGTCAGCTGGAGTGATTCTTAAGACTGGGGCACTTCCAGTTTATCTGTATGGAGATGTGCAGATTGTAAAACAAAGTTGTGAGTAGTTTATTATTGCCATGAATTAAGGTTCCAGTTTCACAGAAGCCAGGCTTAGCCTATAGCTAGGGATTGTAATTCTTCAATTAAGACCCAACACAGAAAGATGGGCAGGATGGTTGGTCCCTTTTCAGGCCATTAAGGCCCAGGGGGAATGGGGGGCAAGGGTCACCATTATTCCTCAACCATCCGACACTGGAGGTGGAGGTGATGAGGTCAGCACCACGCTCCAGCCAGCCTGTTACCCCCAGAAGGATTAACCCCCAGTAGTCACTTGGAAAGCAGGCTGAGTGGACCTGGGAGCCATCTGGAAGGAATTAGAGCAATCTACATCACCTGCCCCTACCCGGGACTGAACTCTGGACTTTCTGGTCAGGAGCTAGACACCCTTGCCCTCTGAGCTACCACAGCTCCACAAAGAATGGACCTTACAGAAAGCGCAGCAGCAGGCAAACCTACTATGAACACATCGACTTCAACTTCGTCAGCTTCTTCCTAGTCTCCTCTCTGGAGGAGGAGGAGGGTATTTTCTATACAGTAGCTGTGCTTCACATTCGTTGTTTTGCTTCATTATGTGTTCGGCCCATCTTGCATAGATTGTTACTTCCTATGCTGGTAATCGAAAACAAAATTTTCATAAAACATCAGCTCAAATTATTTTGAAGCAAAGGCACACGGGACACCCTTCAGCCTTTGTGGAAACCGTGTGTTTGGCTGTACAATATGGTGTGCTGAGGCTGTTCGTTTGCCAATGGACTGAGTTCAAGCAGATTGCATAGGTGCACAGTTTTTCCATAAAGACCCTGAATTCTCCTCACTGCTCTCCTTCACAGCTGGCAGCTTGTCTACACTTGTGAATACTACACCACTCATGGGCATAGCATCATTTATTTAATATTTACTGTTATTCAAAGAAAACCAAAACCGTGAGTTTAAAGGATGCTGCAGTAATTGGGTGCTTTTTGTTATTACATTCGTTACCTAATGATTTGGTTTGTGCAATCAGATATTAAATCGACTGTAACTTCCAGAAAAACGGACAAACAGAAGAGTTATCGCAAACTGAACAAGGAAAACGCCTGAACATTGAACGCGGCACTGGGCTGAAAACGTGGACTCTGTCTCTTTAAAAAGCGTTCCCCTCAGTCTCCGGCTCAGGCAGTGTGTGTGTATACGGTTTCTCATCCCCCGCTCCGGCTCGTTATTGTTTATCATCGTCGTTTTGTCAGGTCATGGCTGCTCATTGTGCTGAAGAACCCTTCCCTTTCCACGGACTGCTTCCCAAAAAAGAGACCGGGGCCGCGTCCTTCCTTTGTCGGTACCCCGAGTACGATGGTCGGGGCGTCCTCATCGCCATCCTCGATACCGGCGTGGACCCAGGGGCCCCGGGTATGCAGGTAACACCAGCAGGGGGAGTGCGGGGAGGTGCAGGCCGCACGTCGGCAGCCCCCGGAGTCACTTGATGGAAGTTACCCGGCAGGAAGCCGGCTGTGCGGCGTGGGACAGTGACTTTATGCATGGTCGCTTCTCCACAGGCCTGCATCGGTGAAGTCGGTTAACAATGGCACATTGCCGTGTCTAGTCATCTCTTGTGTATCTGGGCACCCTGAGCGAGACTTGTTGTTTGTTGACGTTTGTTTTGCATCGCTAGCTGTTCCCAGCTCTGCTTTGCTTTGCTTACCATTTTCAATCGCAATTTCCTTCAGGGTTTTCTTTTAGCTGAAACGTTTTTGAACAGTGCCAGCTGCAACAGGGCAGGGGTTGTCCCGTTTCATATTTTTGAATGAAATTTGTCTTTTATCGGAGCTGGTGGAGATAAAAAAAAAACAACATCCTCAAGGTGATGAAATGAGATGGAAAACGCTGGGCATTAAAACAAAAATCCAGTTGTAGGAATTTAATGTGTATTATTGCAGCTAAAATCGACAAAAAAACCCCCAACTTAGCTGACATCATTTATATGAGTAGTTATACTGATATATTTTAATTATGAATCTGACAGTGTAATATAAACAAACCTAGCACTGATTTATCATTTATTGTAAGTGAATTTATTTTGCCCATCAAATAAAAAAAAAAAAGATCATGGTCCATTTTAATTTATTCATTATTCTGATTTGTTTTTATTTTAATCAAATCTGTTGTGAGGTTAGCAGGATTTCATATAACTTGATTCTGAAGTGCTCAGTTTTTCAATAATGTCAATTCTGTTTTCTTTTGAAATATGTCTACATCACAGAACACTTTTTAGACACTTTTAGACACTAGTTTGGGTGCATTTTTCTCCCCATCTGTATTTTTTGCACACAGGGAGAAAAATAAAATTTAGTTCTGGCTATTTTTTCAGTGTCTGAAAGGGCTTTAGGCAGCGATACCGCAGTGATCCACCGAGCTCCGAGAAAAGTTGAAAGCCGTCAATAACTGAATCTGACCTATTTACCTCTTGCCATGTATTGATGTGGTTATTTGTACATGAATACATCAATCCAGTCTTTTATACTAGAAGTTAGCCATTTGCAAAATTGTCCAGAATGGCTAAAAACATTGCTTGCTCTTTTGTACTTCTCCGTGGGAGAAGCCAAAGACAAATTCCCAACAGCAGTGGACAATAAAGTATCTACCCCTTCGATTGAAAGGGCTTCCCTCGTAGTTGTCTTCTTGATTTCTGCATGGCAGGTATTGACAGAGTGCGGCCGCCCACCAGGACCAGCGGCTGCACACGCCTCGAGCTCTCGGTCATCTCTCGCGGTCAAAACGTTCTCTTTTTAGGTGACGTCCGATGGGAAGCCGAAGATCGTGGATATCATCGACACGACGGGCAGTGGGGATGTGAACATGTCCACGGTGGTGGAGCCGAAGGACGGAATTGTGGTGGGCCTGTCGGGGAGGACGTTGAAGGTCAGGCCCCTCGGTCAGCAGAGTCTGTGCTCTCTTCCTGTCCTGCCTTTGTAGCTTGATGGCGACAGCTGTGCTGCATTCAGTGGAGGTGGCCATGCGCTCTGTGTGGTTGCCTGTGTTTTAGCTCTTCTGCCGCTCTGATGAGTAGAGAGAAATGTCCAGGGCCTTCTTAGGGTCAAACAGACCTGAGGAGCTTACTCCAGCCCGCTGTGATTCACGTCCATTCGTTTACATGAACTTCTTGACCTTTGAACGGGAGGTTCCCCGTTTACCCGGAACCACGCAGAAATGTTCTTCAGTAGCCGAAAAATCGATGCCTTTCGAAATCCTTTTGTGTTGATACTGTTTTTAATGCAAAAGGTGCAGTCTCACGCCATCGTGTCTGTTGCTCTTGTAGATTCCTGCAACATGGATAAACCCATCGGGGAAGTATCACATCGGTGTCAAAAATGGATACGAGTTTTTTCCAAAAGCCCTGAAAGAGAGAGTACAGGTAACAGTGCATGCACGTTCTACTTTCGACTTAAGTATTTTTTATTGATACTCGGTAACTCAGTGGCTGTTGCAGCCCTCTCAAGCACAAGTTAATAAACAGTGGGAACACTATATATTGGTTTTGTTGTCCCGTTCAATCCCATTTTCTCCCACTCAATGTAATGTGCAAATTACCCACTATGTTGTCCCAAGGCTTATTTTGTTTTTTTCTTTTCAGCCTTCGTTTGACTTTAGCAAAGTGTAATGGGATCATTTAACTCTTGAGCCCTTTGGCTATTTTTACAAGGTAGTAAGTCAAAAACAGATACATTAAGCAGATAGGTCATAGATAAAGGGTCAGGTACACAGGTTAAAGCAGTTTCCAATTCAAGGATGCATGAGCTGTATTGGATTTGCTTTTTAATTAAGGTCGATTTTTAGTTCCTCGAGCCCAGTGCCCTACTGTGGGAGCAGGTGTTAAGGTACCTGTGGTTGTCTTTGGGTTTTCTTTGTGCAGAAGGACCGCAAAGAGAAGCTGTGGGACCCATCCCATCGAGCTGTGCTGGCTGAAGCCTGCCGGAAGCAGGAGGAGTTTGACAGCACGCACACCACTCTGTCCCAGGTCAGCTGGACAACTGCTGAACAGTCACACGCTGAACACAGGGCCGTCAGTGGCTCTGCTGATCCTGATGAACACCTACTACACCATCAGTACACCACAGACTGAGCCCAGCTCTTTGAGTGGCTCTGTTGGTACATATGAGCACCTGCTATCCCACTGGTACAGCACACACAGATCTCGGAGCTTTCAAAGGCTGTGTTGCTTCAGATCTCTCAAAAAAAAAAAAAAAACCCCAACAAAACCACATCCTGCTTAAAGGAGAGTGAGACATACACAAAGATGGGGCACATCTATTGCAGAGTTTTTTGTTTTTGTAAGCTGATGGCATCGATTGGAGACTTTTCCGGCTGTGAAGCTAGTTACAATGCTTCTTATAAAACCTTTAAAAGACTAAGAAACGAGTAAGGAAGAACATAAGGAAAATTACATGCGAGAGGTTAACATCTCGCTTGTTCGGCGGCTAGATGTTTTCTTGAAAGATCACAGGGAATCGACTTTAAAGGCTAGGCACTTTGTTCCAGTTGTCTGCTACCCTCAAAGCAAAAATAAGTCAGGTTAACTTTCCTGAAACGGATGTAAAAGAAATATGTAAAACCCTGTATGTGGAAAAAATAGAATTAAGTACAGCAATAAACTATTATAGAAATGTTGTTAATACTTTATTGGCTCTCTTTTATAGAGCCATTAAGTCAAATTTTGTGATTATGGAACTTGAATTAATTGTTTAGTACTATGGTGGCCTTTTGACTGGATTTCTAAAGACACACAAGAAAACCCAAATTCTTTTCTTATGGATTTGCATCCACCTTTAAAATTGATGAATATTTGTGAACAAGCCCATCGAAAGTTAGTTCTGCACATCAATAATTTTCATCGTTTTGTGTTACTTGTTCCCTCTATAGACAGAGAAGCTGGTGAAAGACGAGCTACAATGTCAAACAGAGCTGCTGAATTCGCTGGAGAAAAAGTACAGTGATCCAGGGCCTGTGTACGACTGCCTACTGTGGCACGATGGAGAGACATGGAGGTAGACACCTTAACTGCAAGACCGAGGGGAAAAACGAATTGTTGTTCCATTTTTCCTTGTGTTTTATTGTCATTTTCGTGCCCTGCGCTAGGCTAAATAAGTCTTTAAAAGTCAGAAGTGCCCTTTTTTATTAAAACATATTACTCGATAGCAGGAGTTTTCAAACATTTCTGACTAAATGACTGCTTTTCAAGGGTTCTGCTCAAGAGCCGATTCGTGCAGCTATTCAGTGTCACGTCATCAAAGCAGACACGAAGCTTAACAGATGAACTGCGAGCTGTTGGAGTGGACCCGCTGTGTCGTGGCTACGCTGGGGTTGAAATGTTTTCCTGTTTGGGCCGCTGAGTACTCTTTGGCATGGTAACAGCTCCCAACAGACAGCGGTTGAGCTTTGTGCTTCAGGCATCACTGGTTGGAGCCATGACAGTAGCCCCCTGTGAAGCAGGCTTCCCAAACTCCAGATTAGCTGGTCAGGGCTCTGTTGGCCCCAGGGGACATAGTGACCCCTGTGGGCTCCTGGGTGCTTGCAGTCATGAGGTCCTTTCAGTGAGGGACGCGCCTGTCCTCCAGTCAGCGCCGAAGCCTGCCGTACAGGGCTGTGCTGCCTGTGACGTTTTAAAAGCTGAAAGGTTTGAAGGTGGGTTGGTGTGTGTCCCTAGTTCCTCATTGTTCTGTGTGCAGGCTCACAGCCATGAACAGAGATGAGATTGGCTTTGTCCCATCTGTTTTTGGTGGCCTCCCTAGGCAGTCTGTGGGTGGCCCCCAGAGCAGTAAACCTGTAGAGCAGTTGTTATGGATTCAGTTGTTACTGTTTGTGTGGCGTCTCTGTACTTTAACACTAACACTGGCAGTCTCTTGTTTGCGGTTCTGTGTTTTGCTTTGTTTTTTTTTTTCTTGGTGTTGGAAAATCTGTGTACGCTGGCTAAGATAATCTTGCAGTGACAAAGAAATGATAAGACACAGAAAGCAGCTATTGTGTCTCTTGGAGTACTTAAGAGCAACCTTTATTTGTCTAATGCTCCATTTGGCAACCAGAAAAAGTAAAAAATACCTAAGTAAAGTAAGGGATTTAAGTAAAGGTATTAGGTAAATTACCTGATAAAAAAAAAAGAAAATTAGAAACAACAAAAGAGTTGGGGGAAAATGTAGAACAACTCAAGATTATAACAGAATGTAACCTACTGTTCCTTTTGTAGTTCCTTAGGGCAGTGCTTGAGCTTGTGGATTGTGTTCCTTTTCATGTACAGTATATATTTTTACATAAGGCAAAAGGAGTAATTCTGCTAAAGTTTAGAACTCTCATTAAGCTGCCCTTGTAGTTTCAATTTTCAATACTTTTTTTCCCCAATTTGCTCTTTCCCGTGATCTCTGAAGTGACTTTGTGGACTTGGAAATGGATTCCATGGCAAACATTTTTCTTGTCGAATCTGAAAGAAGCCTTTACTCCAAACATGGGAACTGATAGTGTTTTTTTGTTGTAACCAAAAGTCTCATTTGTGTGTCATGTTACAGGGCATGTTTAGACACTTCAGAGAGCGGGGATCTAAGCAGTTGCACGGTTCTCAGGAGTTACAAGGAAAGCCATGAGTACGCATCTCTGGGCAGCTCTGAAATGCTGAACTATTCTGTGAATATTTACGACGAGGGAAATATACTCTGCATAGTGACCAGTGGAGGTGAGAGCAAAATGACATTCCTTCTGAAAACAAGCTGTTAGTGCGAATTTCTGGATATTTAAGAGAGACAGAGCTGTCACATTAATCTTCAACTTCTGTGCATTGCAATTATTTTGTAAATGTATATGTTTAATTTAAAATGCACTTTAAAATGATATGGCAGAATGCACAATGTGCCTGCCAGGATGGGCTCCAGCTCCCCTGCAGTACTATATTGGATAAAGCAGTTAGAAAATGGCTGGATGGAATATGCAATGCGTGATATCATTGTTTGCATGCGAGTTGACACTACAGTCCGGCAGTGTCATATTCCTAAAACAAAAGTTTAGCAATTTCATTCATAAAATGGTGCTTTTAAAGCGATTTAATATTTGTTCTTGCAGTAAAGCACCCAGAATAAAAAATAAAAAAAAATCTGTGAAACCACATTGCCTTTAGATAGATAGATACTTTATTGATCCCGTGAGGGAAATTGCAGTGCAACAGCAGCTTAACACAGACAACACAGCCACAGTGTAACGAATGATACAATAATAATAATAGTACAATACGTACAATACAATCAGTACAGTGAGGGGTGCTCTAAAAGAGTTACTCACAGTCCGGACACACAAAGAACAAACTAGATCAGAACAGTACGCAGAAAAATCGTATCAATATAGATATAGATATAAATATAGATATAAATGTATTGCACTTAATTTCGATTATAGTTAATTCATGCCAGCAAATTCCTGATGAACAGGAATGGTAAGCCTTCTAACTGCTGGTGTCAGAGTGAACAGAGGACACTGATGTGTTCGGAACAAGACGATTGTGGTGGAGGTCCGTCTTACGGAAGTGTGCCCTGGTGCGACAGCGGTCTGAACAGCGCGCGTCTTTCCCGCAGGCGCCCACGGGACCCACGTAGCCAGCATCGCGGCGGGATATTTCCCGGACGAGCCGGAGAGGAACGGAGTGGCTCCGGGGGCTCAGGTCCTCGCCATCAAGATCGGGGACACCAGGCTGAGCACCATGGAGACCGGGACAGGCCTCATACGAGCAGTACGTCCGCCGATCCCAGACGTGTGCCGGGACAGTGTTTCGTTTGCTTCTGGCTTGTAAGAGAGGAAAGCAAACTGTGGCTCAGTTAACGAAGAAAAATTCCAACATTAGTGCACGTGTCACTGCCTCAGAATGAGGTCGTTACGTTTCAGAAGAAAGTATCGATAGTAAAGACAGCAGAAGTAGTGATCAGTGCAAGAATGACTGACTTGTCCCCCCGCCTGTCTTTCAGAATTTTGATTTCAAATTATTTTTCACATGATGATGAAGTGAAATTATTTGTTTGTGCATTCACACATGGTGGTTCACACATGTTCTGGATTATTTGTTTCCTACAGAAAATTGCAGGCTCTCGCTTTGGATAAAACGTAGGACATTGGAGTTAAATATTAAACACAAAATGATTCATGCTGTTTAAACACGTAATAATCTATTCCTTAACTCCTCTAGTGCATCTATTCAGATGCGGATATAGTCCCCTTCCAACTAAACCTGATCTGCTCTAACAATATACTTTACCTGTAGAAGAAATTTAAATTGGGCATTGTGAATATTACCCATACGTATTTTGTTAACGGTTGTTTTTTTTCTCATTTTCACTTGGTAGATGATAGAAGTTATCAATTACAAGTGTGACCTTGTTAACTATAGCTATGGGGAAGCTACACATTGGCCGAACTCTGGGTAAGAGATTTATTCTACAGAACCGATCGTGCGACAAGACAATTGACTGAAATAGTGTGTCTATAACAAAACCCTAATTTAATTACCTTAATATGAGGTGTTCAGCTAAACATACATGAAACATATGCTGCAGTTTTAAAATCTGTAATAAAAGGACTTTCTTAAAAAAGTGGTCTAATATAGATTTCCAATTTATGACGTAAAATACAGAAATCTCTTCATATACTGTGTATGCGCTTATACATCTTTGGGTAATGTTTGTGGTATTTAATATTATTAACAGTGTTCTTATATTTTAGGAGAATATGTGAAGTGATAAATGAAGCTGTATTGAAACATAACGTGATCTATGTATCGAGTGCTGGCAATAATGGCCCATGCCTTTCAACTGTGGGCTGTCCTGGAGGGACAACGTGTAGTGTGATAGGTAAGACAATACAAACGTATTATAAGTAGCAGTAGCAGGTCTGATGACAGGAGGAATGAAAAAATTCCTTTACTTTTCTCATAGGTAAAGAGTATTACTGTACAGATACCTTTAGAGAAGATTGTACATGTATATTGTTCTCTTTCATCTGGTATGTTTGAATGCAGGCGTATAATCCTTTGCAAGATGTCCACCATGCTCCTTTTTTTTAAGGGTTCTGAAAAATTCAAAACAGTGAGATTCTGTCCTGCTCTTCAGTGTGCGGTCTTGTTTCTTTTTTTTTTTTTTCTGGGTCCTTTGAATTTTGACAGCATCTTAATTGCTTTAATCTAAACATTTAGTTTAAGCTTAAAATGTTTGTGAGGAGCTGTAAGATTTGCGTCCTTCTGATCATTTGAATCAGTCTCTTCTACACAGCCGTATGAACCTGCGTGTTGTCGTTCTTTTACTTTAGGTGTGGGTGCCTATGTCACACCTGACATGATGGTCGCCGAGTACTCGCTCCGAGAGAAGCTGCCAGCAAACCAGTACACCTGGTCATCTCGGGGGCCCAGGTTAGAGCTGAGTCACTCTATCCGTACACACAAACAGGAACATTCGCTCACTGTCTCATTTTGAAGTATATGTATGGAGTGGGGGCAGTAATTAAAACAGTGAGGAAGATGAGCTGGCTTTTGATTTTTCGAGTCGGATGATTTTTGCAATTTATCCAAGCACATTAAGACACATTAAATATAGTAATGGATTTTGACAATTTAAACCCTAACATCTTTTCAGAGTTAATGCTGGTAGAGTCATTACACCACTGATAAGAGATGAAAGTTGTAATTTGCTTTGTTTTGTTGACTGAAAATTGCTGTTGTCTTGCCCTTAACAGCACTGCCAGTATTTCTCGTTTCAAAGAGGATTACCTGGTAATTTAACAGTGAATGATTTTACAGCGCCTGACTTTAATTCCTTTTTTAGAGCAACAGAGAACCAGCAACTGATAAAGGGCGGCAATACTGGGACTGTTTTATGCTAGAGTGTGCCTCTGGATATTTGGCAGGGGGGGGCATTTGTGCTGGTGTGACACCAGTGTCCATGTGGGTTGTGTTGTTTGTACCTGCAGCACTGATGGAGCTCTGGGAGTGAGTATCAGTGCACCAGGGGGTGCCATTGCATCGGTCCCCAACTGGACCCTGCGTGGCACACAGCTCATGAACGGGACATCCATGTCTTCCCCTAATGCCTGCGGGGGCATTGCTCTGGTGCTTTCAGGTAAACACACCAGTGACAGAACCAGACTCATGCTGGGAAATCTCCTGTAGTTCATTCTTTATTACCTCAAAGAAAGATAGAACTGTTTCAGATACAAAGATCTAAATAACATTAAGGAAGCACACTGTGCCAATCAAGGTATACATTTATTTCTGACAAGATTTAAAAAATTGTTCTGTGCTGTGGAAAATTTGCATTGAACGCAGGAAGTTTGACAAATCTACATTGTAAGAAATATACCTCCTGTATTTCCAGTTTCACAGACCTTTTTATACAGTAGTTAGTGGATGGTGTAGGAAAAAAATTGACCTTTTTTAAATGATTGTCCATAAATTTACAGACAGTTGTCACATCCGCATTGTGAGCATGCATCTTATGTTTTGACTGTTTTCCTGTTCTTTCACCTTTTAAATAAAGACCCACAACCCAAAAGCAAAAGTTCTTGGTTGATGGCAGAACTCACAGTGACATGCTTACGTTAGGCTAGATTGTGATCTATAGATTTGTGGTCTCTAAAAATTATGTACTAGCTCTGCAAACCATTAAAATCTGTATTTGGCATGTACTGTTAAAAACGGGTCTACCGGTAAGGTTTCTTTTGTTGGAGAATGTATAATGTATATAATGACATGAGTTGAATAGTTCAGGTATGTAAATGACCCTGCCTGGACATTTTCTGTGGCAGTAAAAAATAAAGAATAATATTTTTTTTAAATGATATTACTGAGTTGTAGTTTGATCTCATAGTGACGTTTATGCGCTGTGCTTCTGTAAATGATTTACTTACTGTCCCAGTTTCTTATTAACCTTTTAAACGTACATCCACTTTTTTCAGGAGTGAAATCCAATGGGATCCGACCTACTGCATTTGCTGTGCGAAGAGCTCTGGAGAACACGGCCTTGAAAGTCGATGATATTGAAGTATTTGCACAGGGGCATGGGATCATCCAGGTAATAAAATATTGCAAGGGGCATCAGCGTCGGTAATGTTGTGTATTTGATGTAATTCCGGTTTAAGCCTGGTCCGCCCCTTATAAATATAAAACTGATTTTATTTCTGTTATGGGGGGTTGAGCAAGTTCATACAACAGCATAAAGATTTTACAGTAATAAATATGTGTCATTGTTTTTAGCTGGGATCCCAACAGTCTGGCCTGGTGAGGAGCAAGAATGCATCCCAATTATTTTCATGCATTGTCATGGGAAACTCTTTACTCATTTTTGAATTGCTTAGCAATTTTCAATAATGCTTCTGCTATATAATTAGAGATTTGTCTACCTCATCTTAAAAAATAAATTCCTAACCGTGTTTTGAATGCAACTCTCTCAGGTCAGAGACTCTAGGGGATAAAAGTCCAAAGAGTTAACAAGCAGGAGAATCCGCAAGCTAGTTTTTGAATTCATTCGTTATTATATTTCTGGACATCAGTCATTATTGTTCACTTTTTGGAAATTCTGGGAAGGGATCTCTTGTCAGGAATAATGGCTGGCTGTCAAGAGAGGCCAGTGCGGACGGGAAAGTGACTCCATGCTGAACGTAGCCTCTCTTTTGGTTTTTTTCCTCTTCCTGCAAGGTTGATAAGGCTTATGACTACCTCATCCAGCACGCGTCCCTGCCAACCAGTAATCTGGGCTTCACGGTGACTGTAGGAAACCAGAGAGGCATCTACCTCAGGGATCCAGTCCATATCTCTGCGCCTTCTGACCACGGAGTCGGAGTAGAGCCCGTTTTTCCTGAAAACACAGGTCTGCCACAGTGTCTCTCAACGTTTTAGACCACAGATTGTTGTCTTAGAAGGAGAAACAAACAGGAACGGAAGAGCTGTTTCATGCGGTAGATAAAGGATTATCGGGATTTACAAGGTTTGAAACGCGAACGATAGGCCTACAGTACAGAAATAAGAAAGCAGTTCAACTCAGTTGTTGAATAATGATGTCATTGTGGTATTCCTGTCTTGGGAATATTTGTTAGAATACCCTTTAGAAAACTGAGATTGCCAGAAAATGCTGTGAAGGGCTGTTACTGCAAAGCCATGCTAGTGCCGATCACCTCAAATGCAAAGTGTCTTACGAGAGAGTTTTCCCAAGCACTCTTGCCACTGCCTTTTGGAAGTGGTGAAAGGCTGAAGAACGGGCGCTCACGCCCAGCTGGAGAGCGCCGTGTGAACGCCAACGGCTGTGTAGGCAGCTGCTGCTGTTAAACGGGCCGTTTGCGCGTTTGCTTCTTGCTTCAGAGAACCCTGAGAGGATATCGCTCCAGCTCCATTTGGTGTTGACCTGCAGTGTGCCCTGGGTGCAGTGCCCCTCGCACTTGGAGCTGATGAACCAGTGCAGACACGTCAACGTCCGTGTGGACCCCCAGGGGCTGAGGGAGGGGCTTCATTATACTGAGGTACTGGGGGAGGTTATACATTCAAGCGGGAATGCGTTTTTGTCGTCTCTCAGCTCTTCGGGCCCGGGTTTAACTCCAGATTTGGTCGGATCAGGCATGTCGGCCCTTATCGGGCACCTTCTTCTTCGCCTGTACGCCTTAACGTAATGTTCGCCTTCCAGTGAAACCCGGAGTTAGATATTTATTGATGCTGTGGTTTTCATTGCGAAGTAAAAAATAAAACAACTTCATTTTCATCCGTCCAGTGCAAAGAACATAAGAACTGTTCCAAATGAGCCATCTGGCCCATCTAGCCTGTGTGGCAGAGAGTAGACAATTGATCCCAGAATCTTGTCCAGGTGTTTTTTTTTTTAAGGAAACCAGGGAATTGGCTTCAACAACATGGGTGGGTAGCTTATTACATAGTATCACAACCCCCTGGGTAAAGAATTAGCTTTTGTTCTCGGTTTTAAATGCTCTTCCACATCATTTTCTCTTGTGTCCTTTGGTACCAGTTAGTACAATCCCAGAGGGGTCTGGTTTAAATACTTTTACTCAAGGATACAGCAGCTGTGTCCCCCACCTGGGACTAGTTTAGACCTGCAAAATTAAAAGTGAACACTATAAGAGGATGAAGTACAATTATATAGAAATGTGTTTTGTTGTGCAATTAGATTAAGGCCTGTTGTTGTTTTTTTTTTTTTGCAGATTTGTGGTTATGACACTACAGCACTGAGTGCAGGCCCGTTGTTCAGAGTACCAATAACGGTTATTATTCCTACCAAGTAAGTCAGCATGACATTTTTCATTCCACAAAGGTTCTGGTAAAGCTTACAGTCTACACTGTTTTATTTTCTCGGGCATTCAATATTCACATTTTTTCACATCTGTTGGGAGCTGCGTTTTTTTTTATCAAGACAATTGGGGGAAACTGTAAGATGAATGTTAGTGCTACTTATGGAAAAACATCAAAAGCTACCGTTTCTGCTTCTTAAAGTCCAAACTGTGTTCCTTTTTTATTTTTTTTAACAAATATACAAAACTAGTCAAATAAAGAGGATAACTAAAGTGTTATGCAGTCCTCATGTCATAAAAAAACTCAAAGGTTCTGCCTATGCCTGTTGCCATTTGTGCATGTATTTGCTTCAACAGCAGTCTTGGGTTTTGCAGTCAAGTTTGTGCCTCCTGTTGTTTGCAGGGTAACAGAAGCTTCAGGCTGCGAGGTGTTTTTCAGTGATATGCATTTCAGACCTGGTCAGATCAGACGGCACTTTATCACAGTTCCTCAGGGAGCCTCCTGGGCAGGTGAGAGGAGAAACAAGGTGGTACAAATTGGGTGACAAAGGGTCACGAGTATAAAGGGCTGCTGGAGTTTTTACAGTAGTTTGTGGCTTGTTATTAATTAAGAGATGCACAGAATCAGAATTACTTCAGGCCTCTTGTACTTACTGTAACTCTGTGGAATGAATTATTCTAAACCCTTGTAATTCACCTTGGATAAGAGCACCAGCCAAAAAAGTGACATTTTTTTATATCTTAGACATGTCGTGAGTATCTTACAGTACTCACAGCGTACTGCATACTTTTCGTGCTGGGTCAGACGTGTCTCATGCTGACATCGGTGTTCTTGTCTCAGAGATCACGTTAACCTCGCACTCGTTAGACGTGTCTTCAAAATTCGTCCTCCATGCTGTTCATCTGGTGAAGCAGAAGGCATACCGTGCCAACGAGTTCTACAAGTTTTCATCCCTTCTGGAAAAGGGTTCGCTAACGGAGGCTTTCCCTGTGCTGGTGAGTGAGGCCAGTTTAACTTATGATCTGTGCTTATGACTGGATTGACCGCTGCATATTTTTAAGCAATTTAGTGGCATACAGTGCATGGTGACTCATGCTGAATATTCTTTCCCAGTGTTCCATGTTAAAGCATCTGTAAATCGCAGTGGATTCATTAAAGCACACAGGGGTTTAAAATGAGCTGACCCCAAGTCATTGTGCCTTTCAATATTTTGTTTTTCTCTTTCAGCAAGGGAGGACAGTAGAGGTGTGCATTGCTCGATGGTGGGCGAGTCTGGGAGATGTTACAATTGATTATTCAGTTTCCTTCCACGGCTTGATCTGTTCTACCTCACAGCTGCATATTGTAAGCGTTTTGTTCTTTACAGATTTTTTTTTCTCTGGTTTCTAAATTTACGTTGAATGCGTTAAAGAATTGATTTCAAATTACAATGTTTTAGGTGAAAACCACTAAACGGTAGTCATTCAGTAGCAGTTCTTTGATGCTAGCTTGAGAATCGGCATTTATGAGTGCATTCCAAACCACAATGAAAATAAGATGTACACAGTACCTTGTAAAACCTCCAATTTACCTCACAAGAGAGACAAAATTTCCGCGGCGCCATATTCTGCGATTCAGAACGAATGAAGGGAAAGCGGTCCCATGACATTGTAAACAAGCAGGCTTATTTGTTACTTATTTATTAACTTTGCAAGGAGATCACGTTGGAAATGTCTGCTGCACTTATTCGCTCGTACATCACGTTATATTAGTCATTACAAGACTAGTGAGCAGGAAGGGCTGCTTCACTTCACAGTTCTCGCAAACTCTCGCTCTCGCCCGTGATGAGACCAGCGGTTTGTACTTAATTTGAGATTTGTCAAATTTTTCTATACCATCATCTCGTTTATTTTGTTACTGAGATTTAATAACCGGTCTGAGAAATCGGGACTGCAGTTCCCCTTTAAAAAAGAAATCTGCTCAGTGCAGTACGGTTACTTAATGATTAGATGTGATATTTCAGTTAGGTTCCATAAAACTCTCTTTCTTCCAGCATGCATCAGAAGGTATTTCCAGTTTTGAAGTGTTTTCTACATTGAAGTATGAAGACATCTCGCCAAACATAAACCTTAAAAACTGGGTACAGCCCCTGAGGTAAGATTTCTCCCCTCTCTAGAGGAAAGAAGTATAAATGTGTGTAAGGCACTTTCCCTTCTGTGCCCTTCATCTGTTCTGTAGGGATTGTATGCTTTCATTGATCATGACCGGACTATTGAATTGAAATGCTCAGCTCAAGAGTCTCTTTAGATTTCATAGCTAAGGAGAATAGGAATAACATTGTTCTGTTATTCCTCTCATGCTTTTTTTTTTTTTATCCGTACTAAACCTGAAACGCGTTGTCTCCTTGAATTTTAGGCCTCTTGGTGCTAAGACAAGGCCTCTTGGGTCCCGGGACGTTCTGCCAAATAATCGCCAGCTTTACGAGATCATTCTGACATACAGCTTTCACCAGGTGAGCATGCAAGAGCTGGCAAGCGCTCCTACACGGGGTTTCATTTAGTTGGACCACCTTGGCAGGAATATCTTAATTTTCTTAATTAGAATCTCTTAATCAGCAGGTGCTCCGCTGAGGTTCATCAGCAATTTGTATCCCTTCCTGTACTGCAGATTCTTCTTTTTTTTTTTTCTGAAGGCACATGGGAGGTGAAATAGGTTGTGAACATTGAGCACTGGGAGAATCGTAGTTATTTTTATAGAGACGGAGATATTGGTGTGTATCCCGGGACGCTTATTTAGTCTGCGGCCTAGGGGAGAAGGGATGAGGCGCATTGGGCCCCTTGTGTTTTTAACGCACCGCGCCGGCACCGCCAGTCCCCTGCCAGGAGAGCAGTGCACCGCCGCGCGAGTGAGCTGCGCTAACTGCACCTTTCTGTCCTCATGTAGCCGAAAAGTGGCGAGGTGACGCCCAGCTGCCCCTTGTTGTGCGAGCTGCTGTACGAGTCCGAGTTCGACAGCCAGCTGTGGATGCTGTTTGATCAGAATAAGAAGCTGATGGGATCAGGCGACGCTTACCCTCATCAGGTACAGGGCCTCTGCTTTCTCTCAGTTCCCCTTCGCAGCAACAGAAACATCAACAGCACACGGCTAATTTCTCTTCTTATTTACATGATTGCTTTGCTGGACTCACAAGCTTATTCCTCGCTTGAGGCAGTGGAAAACACATTACATGTTGATCTTTGCTGTGTGTTACAGAATGTCAGGCGTATTGGGAATAACGAATTCAGCCTTTGCCTGGTGTTTAAATACTGTATATTCCTGGGTCATTGTTTCCCAGCCTGCCATTCTAGTCCCTGGGTTATTCAGATATCATGATAAACTGGATTAAAACATGTATGTCAGAGTATGAGGTAGAAATATGGAGCTGGGACTCCTCTTGTCCAGAGTTCAGGTTCACCTTCATAAACAAAGCCGGACATGGGCCAGTCTGTCCTTCACGTACCCCACAGCAGGGCTCCTGGTGACTTGTTTGGCACCCGTGAGCTGGCCGTGCTGTTGGGAAGATCCCCTTCACTCCTCCCATCAGTGCCAGCTCTACCGTAGGTGCTGTGGGGACTCGGAGGGGCGAGTAGTGCTGGATGACGTTGTATACAATCAAGAACCTGTAAACACAGAGGCGATCGCTGGTGAAAGGTCAATGTTTTTCTTTTTCTTTTTCTTCTAGTATTCCTTGAAGCTGGAGAAAGGAGATTATACGGTGCGACTTCAGGTTCGGCACGAGCAGCTCAGCGAGCTGGAGCGCCTTAAGGACCTGCCTTTTATCATTTCACACAGACTGTCTAACACTCTGAGTCTGGATATCTACGAAACTCACAGAAATGCCCTGCTGGGCAAGAAGAAAGCCAACACCATCACCCTGCCACCCCACTGCTCACAGCCTTTCTTTGTCACCTCACTGCCGGATGACAAGTAAGCAGATTCCTCTGTGTTTGTTTTCCCTCTTTGATTTTAATGTTCGCTCTTTGCTTAAGGGAGACAAAACTGTAACAAGATGCTCTGTTTGGGTCCCCAACTTTTATACACCAATAAGTTTGTTTTTGGAGTATTGGATGAGGTGTTGAAAATATTGGCACATATTTCTAATTGCAGGGTAAACTGAGTAAACACCATGGTGATATTGACATTGTACCGATGCTGTATAGCCAAAGCCTTTCCAGATAAATTCTAGAGAACGTAGCCAGTGCTCTTGTGGGTCTCGCCAGTTGTAAGTGATAGAGAATTACATGTATTAATGATCAATTGAGATGAACAATTTTAAGAGTTTTCCTCCTCTGCCTTCAGAATACCAAAAGGGGCAGGGCCTGGCTGCTATCTTACTGGATCCCTTTCCTTGCCCAAGAGTGAATACGGGAAGAAAGCAGTGAGTGTCTTCCATTCCGAAAGCATGCCCCTCTCCCTTCCATCTGTCCGAGAGGTTGTCTGCTGCTTGTGCTCTTTGCTGCAGATTCGGCCCACCTGCTCCATGGGAAGCCTTGCTGTTGCTGCTCTCGCTGTCAGCGTTTTACTAATCCGACATGAGCGTGCATGCAGCTTGCCAAACTGTCACGTTGCATACTTTGGCATCAGGTGGAACGTCTGGCTTGTGTAGCGTAGCGAGACGAGTTGTGCACAGCCACAGTTTCAGTCTCCTGCAGTACCAAGTAATGTATTCGTTAATCATCAGATTACTTGGTGTTGTGGATCATGGCATTACCATACTTTTTTTTCATGCAACTTGCAGTGACTGTGAGTGGTTTGAATGTACAGTAAGTATCGAAGTGTCGATTACAGTGTACCGTCCAGTTGTGGTGTAGTAAGTCCGCTGCTTTCTCAAATGGGACAGAGCACACCTTTTGGACTTTCTGAAGGTTTGTTTGCCTTCAAGTCAGTTGCCAATGTAGAAATGCTAGAAGCATATCGACTAATGTTTGTGCTTTGTTTTTCTACATTTAATAAAATTCTGGTCTCAGTCATGAAAATGTGTTGACACAAGCAAGGTGCACTAAGTGCAATATTAGCATCAACAATGTTAAATTAAAAAAAAAAGCTTGTTGCACACTTCAAAGTGTAGAAAAGGTTGTGTGAAATAAGCCTCTTTCTTTTCAAATGTGCTCCTACAGCAGTATTGCCACTTGGGAGTTAACTGTTCAGTGCTTTGCTTCTGTTGCTAACCAGGAGGAAGCTAAAGGTAACTTGCAACCTTACTCAAAAAAGATTGCTTTTGCTCAGCAGGACTATTTTCAATACAGAGGAACCTAAGAACATGTTGTGAACTGATATTTCCTAAAACCTGGGGAAAAAACCTGGAAAACTGTGGATGTTGTTTCAGGAATACAGTAATTCTAAAACCAAGGCCAGCTGCTGCTTTAATATAGCGGTGGATGAACTTTATAAGCTTATTTTTCTATGGAACTACAGCAAATTTCGCCAGATTGTGCATCTTGAGCTTTGTGGCAGAGTGAAACAAGGTAAAAAGGGCTTTATGGGTTCGTGTGAGCCCTTCTTGGACTGGGCTGGCATTCCTCCAAAAAGCAGAAGGGGGCGCTGTGTCACCGAGTGTTGGTAGGTTTGAAGCAGTTCTCTTTTTTAAGTACTGCATGAATTGTAGCTACATGGAAAGGAAAATGCCTCTTAATAGTCCAGCAGCTATGAAAGGCCTGTGGGGAAATGGCTTTGAGTTCTTAGTGAAATATGCTGCTGCTTGCCAAGAGTCGTCATTGTGCCTGCCACAGGTGTATAGTGGGGAAAGAGTTCACAGAGGGGTGACATGATCCTTCACAGTGTCTGTCCAGTGTATGCCTGTTTTCTTACAGTATGCTATTCTGACCACCAGGGGCAGGCTGCTTCAAAACGGCAAGGAAAATTTAAAAAGGTACTGATCCTGTTAGAAAGATATGCTATACCATTGTACATGGCTGAAATCTGTGCAGCGCTGTGTGTGTTTCTGGGGAGGTTTTTATTTTCTTCTGATTTATATTGGCCTTTTGCAACGATATGCACTCCAATAGTGATACAAAGATGCCGTTTTTAGATGTTGCTCAATAAATATTTTAAGCATTATCTTATTTTCATTTTTTGAACGATTCCCCAAACTGCTTATATTGTTGCATTTTCTGTTCATTATTTTCTGCATTTTTAGAAATCTATGTGAAATATCTGACTAATCCCATTTAGGCTGCTGCTGTAATTCCTGTAAATAACCAGAGGCTGGCGGTGGCCCAGTGCTTGCGGAGCTTTGCTTTGCTCTACAGCAGGTGCTTGCTTAGGCTTCAGTTCTTGCTATCAGAAGCTTGAATTTTCTTCTTGTTATATTAAATGACTTAGAAAATGCTTATAGATTGGCCCTCTCGGGCGCTTTTAAGATTTTATATACCCTTCTTTGTGATTCTGTAGGTGAATGAAAGTCACCCCTGCTGAGTTCAGTTAAACTGCAGTGTAAAAAGTCATTGCATGCTTTAATTTCCATTTCATTCATTGTAGAAGCTGTTGCTGTATTTATGATCGTTTGAGAGGCAATGTTTTACAGTGACTTGTATGTGTTGCATAACAAGTCCCATTCACATGGAGTGTTTGCATGTAGGACTGAGTCAGACTATGCAAAACTAATCCTCTCTTGAGAGTAAATGACTGTTCAGGCAGGGAAAGTCAAAGTTCCTGTGAGTTGTCGTCCGATTGGCTGACTAGTACTAAAGCAGGGTGAGCTGGCCTGAATACCTTGTTCCAGCACACAGCAGGGGCCCGAGTGACGTACTGGGTGCCTGCGCAGTGCTATCAGTGAGAGACACAGTGTTAGCCCAGCGTGTGACAAAAGGTGGATGGCTCAGGAATCATACGCGTGCCTCATCCTTTTCATCCTACCATGAAACAGTGGGCGAACTTCATGTGCTGCTACTAGTGATTATTTTGACATTTAAGCTAAATACGTAACCCTCTGCAGAGGTTACAATAGATATGCAAGTTAACAAATTAAATTTTGTGGTAGGTATGTTTGCCCGGCCCACAAATTTAAACAAAACTCACACCAGCCCTGCTTCAACCCTAAAGAAGCCTATCACTCTGTATTGGCTATTTCGTAGGTAATATGTTTTGTAGTTGTTTTTAAGAACTTTTAAACTCCAGATTTTGGTAATTTAGCATTGTACTACCTGTTCCGTTAATGGCCTTTTAAAACAGTGTGTATGTATGTCGGCTTTTGGGAAGCTCTCTTGAATATACTGTATTTTGCTATAATCACTAAACATTTTTCTGAATGCAGGAATTTATTTACGAACAAGACTCTCTCCCGTAGCGGTTATAACCTTTATACTGAAAATCTGATTTTTTGGTGTAGAATAGTTAACTGTGCTATGCAGACTTATTTATTTTAGGAAGCTTTTTTTAAGCTGGCTAAGATTGTACAATATTACCACAATTCTTTTGGAAGAGAAGGCCTAGCTGTTATTTACGTTCCCTGTGCACAAAATCTATTAAATTAACACCACATAAACATATGGTAACTGTCTCTGCTATCCAATGTTTGAGATGTATCCACCCTCAGGCTATTTTTGTCAGACCTTTTAGCAACATTTATGAGCCAAAAACGTGGTAACTACAGCACATAAATTTCCATCCCCCAGAGGGTTTGTTTGAAGCTGGATGAGAGTGAGGAGTTTTTGTTCCGAGACGTCACCACATGCAGTTGGTTTTCCCAAATAGGCAATTAGATTGTGAAATTCCTCCGGATGTAAATTTAGTTACACAAAATCCTTTTTGTGTGTTTTAGAAAACAATCTTGTGTTTTTACGCCTTTTGTGTGAGATAAATATATTAAGTGTACTTTTTTCCAGTTCTACACTTACATGGAGTTCAGCAGTGTCCTTAGGTCTTATAAGACATTGCATTTCTGAGAGAGGTGTGTGCCAGTAACAGGGGGACCTCTCTGTGTTATCCCTCTCCAGGATGTGGTGCCAGTCTCTTACCATTTAATACCAGCGCCCAACAAACCCAAGAACGGGGGCAAAGAGAAGGAGAAGGATGGAGAGAAGGAGAAAGCTGTTAGCGAGGAGTTTTCCGAGGCCCTGAGAGATCTCAAGATACAGTGGATGACAAAGTAAGCCGTGTGATTACAGGTGCATATAGAGGGGTTCGGGGAAAACTGCCCCTGGTGTGTGTGTGTGTGTGTGTGTGTGTGTGTGTGTGTGTGTGTGTGCTGTGATGCGATGCACTGGCCATCCCATCCAGGGTGTATCCTGCCTTGCTCCCACTGCTTGCCAGGATAGGCTCTGCATTGGATAAAGCAGTTAGAAATTGGATGGATGCATATAAACTAAACGACAGTTTGCATCGTAGGCAGAACATGCTGAAATCCAGACCAATACTTCCAGTATCACCCCATAAAAGTCAAACATTGTTTCTACAAACTCTTTTTAGGGTGTTTTCGTCATAACATTTACAGTGAGTTGGTCTTTTTTTTTTTATTCCTCCTGCAGACTGGATACCAGTGCCATTTATGAGGAGTTAAAAGAAACATTTCCCAATCACCTTCCTTTGCATGTCACAAGATTGCATCAGCTGGACTCTGAAAAGGTAAAAAAAAAAAAAAAACCTGTCAAAAAACAGTGATTTTTCTTTTCAGTTTGACTCCTGCTTCACATTCCAGGAGCTGCAGAAGAGGAAAAATTATGACTTGGACCTGAAATGACTGTGTTATTAGTATGGATTTTATATCTGGCACATTCGCCGTGGGGAGGGTCACAGTACCACAGCTGTTTTGTACTTATTGCCTCTCGTTATTATCCCTGCCCGTGACTGTATTTCCTCGGGTCTGATCCGGTTCCATCGTATGTGTTTCCCAGGAGCGTATGAAGCAGCTAGGAGAAATAGTAGCGGCTGCAGACGTCGTCATCTCTCAGATTGATCAGACTGCCTTGGCTGTCTACTTCACCATGAAGACTGACCCCAGGCCTGACGCAGCGGCTATAAAAAGGTATTCCAGCAGCCCCTCCTGTCTACAACTTTGTAAGTAACGAGCGTTTTAATGTTGCTGGGTCGCAGGCTAACTGTGCAGGAAGAATGTCGATATTGCATTGTTAACTAGCTAACAAATGCTGAGAATACAAGAATGGTTAGAAAAGAGCCCGTTTCCCCCGTTTGATTGCTAGCAGATACTGATGTCCCTGGCTCTTCAATTTGACGAGGTCCGCTATGACTAGTACTGTTACTCGTGCTCAACTCCAGGTATGCAAAATCTGCGTTGTGCCATCTGTTCCAACGGCAGAATCGTCCTGGTGATCATTTTCACTTTTTTGTTCCTGCTCTGCTTGCAGCGACATGGAGAAGCAGAAGTCGTCCCTGATTGATGCGCTGTGCAGGAAGGGCTGTGCTCTGGCAGACAAGCACCTGCAGCAGCAGCAGGATGGCGCCAGCTCACTGGAGGTGGGCAGCACAGAGGACAGCCCTGAAGGGTCCTTGAAGAACCTCGGCGACACGTTCTGGGAGGTCCAGAAGTGGGCCGACCTCACTGACTCCAAGGTAGGAGACAGCAGTGTAAGAACATAGGCAAGGCTGCGGGCCATGAACAGAAGTATCCTAAAACCTTGGAATGTCTTCCATTCAGCCCTTGGGAAGTCCTTTCGCTGCTAACTGTACTGGCTGGAATATGCTACGTGTTTGCAGAGTAAAAGAAAGCCTTTCCTTTGTGAGCATGCTTATCAACTCTTCTTGGAAAAGAATACAGAAGAACTGTTATAAAAAACAACAGGAAGGTGTTAGAATTTTGAATTAAGTTAGTGTGTTTGTAATCAGAAACAGGTTTTCACCTCTTGATAGTGATGTATTTCACTCCTAACAACAGTTTTCTCTCCTTGACTTGTTCATCTGTCTTCTCCGAAATTTTCCGTTTCAGGTTTTGATGTTTGCCTATAAACACGCATTAGCAACTAAAATGCATGGGAGAGCCCTGAAATATGCGTCAAAGATTGTTGAAGAGAAACCCAGCAAAGAGAACTGGAAAAATTGCTTTCAGGTAAGAGCCTGTTTATGCCTTTTGTTCTCATTTTCAGTGAGTAAAGATCCCTTTAACCTTTAGTCAGTTTTGGAGAGTTTGGTTAGAAGCAAAAACAGATGAACCTGAAGCTTGCTAGAAATATGTCTAAACGCCTCTGTCACATGGGATCTAACAAGTTATGTTTTACTGATCCTGTAATACCCTAGTATCTGCATATGAGCCAGCAAGGGTGGATGAGATGTGCAGACATAGACATATACATTCCGTCAGTGGACTGTGGTGCCTCATTCTCAGGTCTGACTTCAAACCCCAGGTTTACAGGTTGAGTCACTCAGGAGGCTCCTCGTTTGATGTTGAAACATAAGTTTGAACGTGAGAAAACTATAATGGTTACAGATGAGAGGAGGCCCTTAGGCCCATCTGGCTGGTTTGGTAGTTAGCAGTTCATTGATTCAAGGATCTCATCCATCCCTTTCTTGAAAGAAGCTGGGGTCTTCAACAGCACGACGTGTTGGCTAGGTAGCTTGTTTCCACTCCCACAACCCAGTGCATGAAGAAGTGTCTCCTGCCTAAACAGTGTGAAATGAAGTTCCGTGTGGTTTCTGCTAGGGCCCTCTGCTTTGTGTTTCCCCTCTTCATTCTGAAGAAGTCCTCTGGGTTGACTTTGTCAGTGCCCGTGAGGTCTTTGATACTTGAATATCAAGTCCCCTCGTAACCGTATCTGTAGACGACTCATCATTTCTAGTTTTCCAATAAGTGCCGCTTCATATCAGTGACGATTGAAACACGAACATAAATATTATTGCTTTTGTTAATAATGAGGCCTTAAATGCATTTCTGTCGTAAAATGTTAGTTTTTGTTATTTCACATTCAAGAACATGTTGCCTATTACTCTTTATTTTAATTAGTCATTTCACTTGTCTACCAAAAACAATTAGTTTATTTACAGTATCATTGATTTATCATTGTCATTTTCAAGAGTCTTCAATATCTGTAGCATTGCAAACTTTCATTTTTTATTTGGTTTTTGATTGTGCCTGCAATTCATTATGTTCCTTTAATTGTTTTTTTCTTTTTAAAATGCTCTAGGAAGGTTAATTCTTCTACTTATCCATTTGGGTTACAGACTTGGGTTTACTTGTGATAAATCTGTTAATCATTTGTGTTGAGTAGAATATTCTCTAAGAAATTTTCATCCATTCTGTACTGATTTATTCTCTGTCTTATCCTGTTTTACTTCTGTTAAACTATATCTTAAAACATTAGGAAACTGATTAGAACATAATCTGCTTTCCTGAAATCTTAAATCATTTGCTGTGGACCTTCACAAATGTAAACTATTTTTTTTAAATAGTTTCCTAATGTTTTTCATTTTACCTTCCTTAAACATTCTTAAGCAATTCTTAAGCTGACAATAATTGTCATTGTCTTGGTTACAGAGCTGTTGAAAAAGACTTACTTCAATTGACATTTTATTTTTTCAGCTCATGAAGTCCCTTGGATGGAACCATTGTGCATCCTTTGCTGAGAATTGGCTTCCAGTTATGTACCCTGCAGACTTTACACCTTTCTAAATAAATTAATGTACGTTGTGGGCAATGTACATTATCCCATCATGGAAGGAAGGTGGATTTGTGTCTGAATTAAAACGCCTTTTATGTACAAACTTGTTTTCCCCCTCCCTTAAATTTGTCTAATTTAATTGTTAGCCACTTTTGACAGATGTCGGATTCTCCAAAATATACAGTATAAGACAATTGTGAATTTTGGTAAAAAGTGTCTGAAATTAGTAGCTGCACAAATACTCTCATAAGAGTCAAGTGCAAAACCCGTTTCTGAAAGCATCAGTAAATCTCATTTATACCTGAAAATGAATATTTTGACCAAACAGGTATTAGCAATGTAGGGTTATTAAGTAACAAATGAAAAATGCATACCTTTGAGTTACACCAATAGTTTTATAATTTGTTAATCTTGACAGATTGCTTCCTAAATTAAGCAGTCATCTTTGGCACCTCTATAAATTTGGAAAAAACACTTTTAAGATGTTGATTTTCCATTATGTCACTCAATACAGAAGTGCCATATATCCTGTCTATAATCTATGAACATACAATACAACAAACATCAGGAACAGTACATATTTATCAGCAGACCACCCACCCAGACTCTGAAGTTTTTGTTTTTCTAGACTGAATTTTTAATTTTTATTTTTTATCCAGTATTTAGAAAACTCCCCTCCAATATTTTCTTATTTGTTTAAGTCAAACAGTCTTTTACAGTAATTTTTAAGAAGTGTATACATTTTGTATATATTTACTGAGGTGCATTCAAAACACAACCAATGAATATTGGACCAAATAGCATTTGTTGTGTTTTAATATTTCTGCATATATACATCTTGGAATGTAGGAAATAAACCATTCTTGTTTGACTTTCATGATTTCTTAATTTATGTGTACACACTTTCATTTTCACTTTTCATGGACCGGAAATGGTGATTAATAGGATTTAACTCTTTAATTCTTTTGGAAGATAATATAAAATGAGATCTCAGGCTTCCTATTGTCATAGGAATCAAATACATTATAAATACATAGTTACTTACTTTCAAGTAGAATTGCCCTGTTTATTTTCACATTTTTTCATACTGTACTTACAGAAACTGCTTTACAGTTTTTACTTCCTTTTTCCAAAGCATGATTGCATTTAAAATGGAATGGCTTTTTTAAGAATAATGTTTGGTTCAAAGGTCAAAGCTGCAGTCTCATTGCAGAGTAGAAGCCATTGGTTATTTGCATGCCATAATCCACTAGTTTCCCAAATGGAGAAGTATCACATAGGTGATTATTTCTTATGTATATAAACTGTTCAACTAAGCTGAAGTTCAGGGTTTTACAGTATATTCTATTAAATTATGTTTTTAACAGCCTTAAAATTCAAATCCTGCTGCACTCAAGTTGCTTCTGATGTTCAAACTCTGTAATTAAATATATCATACATTTGTTTAAACATGTTTTAGATTATGTATTTATGGAGTCATTTTATTTATAAAGGACACAGTAGTTAGACACATTGTTTTAAAAACTGCTTTCATTTTACTTGTAAACTGGTATGATTTTCTAAATATTGTTCCCCAGCAGCATAAGCAAACAGCTTCTTTTGTGTTGCAACATCACCTGTATAAAACATGTTGCACTACACACTAAGTGAATTCTGAATAAAATAATTTGAAAATTAGAAGTTGTTTTACTTTGTCTTTTGTGAGAAAAATGCTAACATTGAACATGACAGTTCTCAAGAAGCGCATTTGAAACGTCATACTCTTTTCGGTAACACTTCAGTTGTGGTCTTCATTACAACTGTCTTCAATTAATCTATTAACGTTATTAATGATGGTATAAGACACTACTGTAAAAATGAACTGGGGTTAAAGCTTTGGACAGGATTATAGTTTAATCCAAGGAGAGAGTGGTCATCGCATTGTCACTTTATCTTGTGCTGTTTGTCATATTTTTATTTAATATCATAACAGTATTCATGTAATAAAAAGTTGTAATTGTTTTTTTTTAATACTAGTATATACTATTGTTCTATGTATTGCTTTATATATCCATAAATGTGTTTAAATTAATTTATGTAGTTATGTGCACATTATACAGTGTTATATGTATTGTTCATTATGCACAGCCCCAAAAAAGCATGCAGAATTTTCCCAGTTGCTCTTATTGCACAATGAAGTGATTCAGGGGTCCTGTGAGTGGCGCTCCGCCAGTCTCCTGGGGCAGTTGTCACTGGAATGACAGGGCGTCAGGCTTCCCCTGAGGAAGACTTGGTGCTCCAGGACTGGTACCAGCGGTGGTCTCCACCAGCCAGGGGCCTGTTCTGAGATCTGGAGAGAAATGTGTCGACGCTGCAAGGCATGTGTGCACGCAAATCGAGCCTCCCAAAGGAATTGACTGTAGGTCGGAGATATAACAACCCACGACCTCCGGATGTGACTGAGGAAGAGAGAGGCTTGCTGTGTAGAGTTCCACTTTATTTTTATTGATGATGTGGAATGGCACAGTCGTGAACACAACGCTCCACACTGGAGCATTGAAGCTTTGTACTCTCATTCTGATTCCAGGGTTCTTTGATCATTCTTTGTCTGATCAGAGAAAGACGTTGTTTTACCTGTGAGGTTCAGCACATTTCTGCTTCTTTCTGGAGGAAGATTAATGCTGTTGTGCTGTACTCCATTACTAGCAAAATGATGACCAGTTATCTAAGTAACATTCACATAGGATGGATATAAAGTAATAATTTACTTTTCACTGAGCAACCACATCAAAGCAAAAGCTAATTGATTATCTTATTTTTTTCCCGACGGTAAAAAACCCAAACCAGCCCGATTATTTAATGCAATTATTTATTTGTAGATTAAACAACAGGGTTCGTATTTCTGGGGAAATCGAGCACTAGGTCATTCCTCCACTTATTTAAAACTCTCTTCCTAAAGCTAGAAAATGAATGGTTTGCCAGTATGTACAGTACCAATATGATGTTTTAATAGGGCAGTACGGTGGTTAACACCTCATCTGGGCCCTGGGTTCGATTCTGGGCCAGGTGTGCCTCCTATGAGGAGCCTGCACATGGCTCTCTGTGTCCTTCTGGGCTTTTACTAGATGGGTGCTGCACTTTCCTCCCGTCTGGCCAGGGTCGCTGTGTGTCTAGAAGTGCCTTGCAGTGGGCTGGCAGGGGTCCATCCTTGTATCATACGCCCCAGGACAGGCTCCTGGGGGCTGCTGCTCTTACCAGGAGTACAATCGCCTGGCTCTCTAAGAGTACCCACCACACAAGCGTTTTGTAAGTTGATTCCATCAAGTGGTACAGAACTAAGCAGCTCACAAATTATAAGACCTGTTATTTAAAGATGCTACATGCTCTAGTAGTGTATAGAGCCATTCCTGCGATAAAGCAAACACAAATGAAACATAGTTCAAAAAATGATATGCTGTCTTCTTCCAGTTGTGTAGTTATATACACTGTATGGTCAACTTTACAGTAAATATGTACTAAATGACTTCAAGTTACTGCTAACATTTATAAAGCGATGTCTGCAAGGAATGTCAAAAACAAGAACTGAATACAAGGTTAGTGTTGAGGACAGCAGGGGGGATTTGCTGAACTGCCTGGCTGAGACATGGAGACAATGAGACATTCTGATAAATCTTAAAAATTCACTAAAGCTGCCTGTTATGCATTTCCTTTTTCCTCAGGAAAGGAAGGCTTTCTCTTTCAATGTTGCCATGAAGATCTTGACATTCGTGTCTGGAAACTCTCCCAGAAGCGTGGTGCAGAACGTGCTTTGGAATTTTTCGGTGAACTTTATATCTGACTCAAACCTGACCTTGTTTGCCCACAGAAGGGTTGTGCCAGGCTGGCAGAAGTGCTGCATCGTGACGAGCAGACTGTCCAGATAATCGTGGTGGTAGACAACATCGGCCGCCAGGACATAGTCATACCGGTAAACGGATCTTGGGAAGGTGTGCTCCAAGTCCTTACCCCACGACAGCTCGGCCACCTGAGGGTTATACCTGCAGAGTCCGCGGGTATTCTTTGTCAGGTTGGATCTGAGGTTACCCAGGACTTCAGGCAGATCAGTGGCTGTGACCCATGCCCCTGGAGATGAAAACAGACAGACGTGCTCAAAAAGCCTGTCCAATGGTTTTCAAAATGTCCTTTGCACAGGACTTCTGAGGAGAACCTCTCGGAAGACCTACCGAGCAAGCAAGCCACTATGGAGAGCAGCCCTGTTCCTGCTCCGATCTCAAGGACGGACTTGTCTTGCAGATTAAATTGATGCTGATTGTTCTCAAGATACTGGCACAAGGCCACTGCCTGAAGGAACAGATTTAAGAAAAAAATCCATAAATCCTTAAAAAGCAGGTCTGACACTTCTTTATGGCTGTAAAACAAGCTTAAATGTTTTGAAATTCATCTTTATCTTGTTTTTTCTTAATATATTAAAAGACTAAACAAGATTCAATTTTTTCCCCCCCAGTTCTGCTGTAATTTCTTGGAAGCTGGAAGAGATATTCAATCCAGCTCAGCCCTGGAAGAACCCAGCTGGGCTTCCCATGAGGACAAATATTGTAATAAGCACCAAAGAGGAATGGGGAAAGTGCAGACAAAGATAATATTTGCACTGTACGATTTCACACTACTGGGCTGTTCATACTCTGCCCAAGCAGTGGGCGGAGCGGTGGCTCTGTGGCTCAGGATCTGCACCTGTGGCAGGAAGGTTGCCAGTTCGTATCCTG